TCCCTTTGCTTTCAAAAATTTCCTTGTTTTTTCAACTACGTTGCTGACTCTCCCTGGCTTTTTACTGACTTCTTGATCCCAGATTTGAATCGGCTTAATCATTTTAAAGCATTTATAACTTAAGATGAAGATGTTTTACATTAAGTTTTAAGAGTATTTCCAAATATGTGTAACATTTGATAATATAAGCCCTTCCCATTACTGTTTTATCTTTTTCTTTTGACCACTCAGTAAGCATAACTGAGAGTGAGGTGTTATCTGCAGGTACAGACACCTGACAAGGAAGAAAATGTTTCTTCCTCCTCTAGCAACTGTTAACTGCCCATTGGGCCTCAGGAAGGGCTAGGACCTTTTGAGCCCCTTTCTCAACAAGATGAATATGTAGTGACCATGTCTTACCTGTTTAGTTAAGACCAAAAGCTGCCACATCACAAGAACGGGGAAGTAATGAATTAATGCATGCCAATGCTCAGTTCACTCTCCCACTCATGGGAAGGACTTCAAACTCTCCGAATGGTGCTACCCAGTGAATCTTCCCACCTGTTAGCCCAATTAAGAAATCTCCCAGAAATGGCTGTCCATTAGCCAACTTCTATTCCTTAAGACACACTTTTCAGGTGATTCTAGACTGTAAAATAGACAGTTTAAAACCAATGTTGCTATTGTGCCTCTATTGGACCAAGTGTCTTTACTTCAGGGCTTGTCACTACAGCACATCCATTTGCTAGCTATGGTGCAGCTAGCAGTGGATGGGACAAACCTACCCCATAGACTGCAAAGCTACTTGAGGGCTTTGGACTTGCCCTAGGGATAGGACTGCTGTCTCTAGCTTACATTGGGTGTCAGGTGACAAAAGTTATCATACAAAATCTGGAATGGCAAGTTTCAAATAACCAAGTGAAACATAGCGAAAGCTTTACTGTAGTAATGTCTCTACCCATTTATAGTATCGAACCACAAACTACATATGCACTGAGACTCCTCATCCTAAAACAACCCTCCCACCCCCTTCCCGGACCATTCCATGTTTCTGCAGCCTTCTGCAATCTGCTGTTGCCTATTCCATGTTTTTTAAGTGGCTATAGTGTGCACCGCTACTGTCTGGCTGCTGCTGCTGCTAACTGTGTTCAGTTGGTCCATGTTGTAGAATCAGTCTTCTGGCCAGGAGTGTCTACTGTGGCTATGACCACCACTGCTGCTGTGGTTGTGTTGCTATCAGTTTTGCATAAAAATTTTCCATACTCCCAAGTAGACTATACAGAAGTGGGAATTCTGGGTTTAACCTTAAAAAATGTATAGGCATTTTTGCCTGCTGCCTAGAGGCCAGATCTCCTGGGACTGGACTGTGTATATATGTATATATATAAACAAATATGTGCTCTTAACTGCTGCCTACCTGAAGACTTTTTTGTTCTGATAATGGGTCTAGACCTCATAATGTAGATATTAAGAGGTCTGCCTTCCTCTGCTGGGATTAAAGGTGTGAACCACCATTTACCTAAGTTTTTGAGAAATGCCAAATTTTTCAAACTGATTGAACCATTTTATTACTAGCAATGTTTTGAACTTCTGATGTTTTACTTTTAGTGCAATTCAAAGAAACCAGTGTGGTGGTTTGAGGCCAATTGGTCTACAAAGGAATTTGCAAGACAGAGCCACACAGAGAAACCCTGTCTTGAAAAACCAAAAATCACCAATATGTTTGGAAGCCAGCACTACTTTAAAACAAAAACCTACATGATGTAAGAAGCCAGAGACAGGTGGATCTCTTCAAGTTCTACAACTGCCAGGGCTATGTAAAGACGCTGTCTCAAAACCCTCCTCCCACCAAGAGCCCCCACTTATACCATCTAAATATACTGATTTATATATGCTCACTGTAATTCATTGTCAATATAAGTTTATTCATAGTATTAGAAGGGGTTTACTATGTTACCTCAGAACACCAGCAGTATCTACATATGAATTTATATGCTTATTATGCCCACATATCTATAAAACAGAATTTGCCTACTTCATTTGGCTTTAAAGGCTCTTTACAATATCGGAACTGTTGGCTTAGTCTTTGTCAGTTAAACAGAAACTATGTTCAGTTTTAATACTTCTCTTTAAAGCACTCACTGAAAATGACAGAGACAGTCAGTCACCACTGAAGAATCCTCTGTTGTCAACATCAAGACCCCTGGTATTGGGTAAGCCCAATGGCAAGTATCTGTCTTCACCACTTGCTCCTAGCAGCCCATCTCCCCTCTCCCTCCTGTTCCCATTTAGCCCATGGCCAGCACTGCTTGATTGCCCACTGAGTACCTTCTGCTGCTTTCATCTTTTTCTAAGATCTTAACAGGAAGGTCCTATGTAGTCAGCTATAAAAATGCTTTCTTGCTTTTTATGAAATTTTCTTAGTGGGAACCCCGTTCCCTTACTGTCCTAATCTAATTGCTTTAGTGGACTTTAAACTATTGTTTCCCTTTGTCAAGGTGACACAATTGATTATCAAAAACAACTGAAACAGATGATTAAGGATTTAGCCAAAGAAAAGGATAAAACGGAAAAAGAGTTGCCCAAAATGAGCCAGGTAAGGACTTTTGGGAAGAAAAAAGAAACTATCTCAGCAACTTGAGACCATAAATCTCAGGACTTCCCAGTGTTGTGATCAAGTCACCTCTTAAACAGGAGGCTGCAAAATGATACACACCATTCAAGTCTTCATACCTCTAATCACTTCCCAGAACAGGGAGGGTTCTTAGGTGCTACAAGATGGCAGGTTCAAAGAAATACAGGCTTAAGTTAGGAATGCTCCTAAGACATCAATGTTTTCTTCACGCCACATACTGGGAGGCTTTAGGACCTTGTTTGACTGAAGCATGCACGAGTAGGTATGCATGAAGGCCAGTGGGTTTCCTCTACCTTAAAGTCTCTCAACCAACCTCAAGCTAGGTAGGCAGTCCTCGGTCTTCCCAGCTTTACGTGGGTGCAACTTTTATTCTGTTCCTTATATATGTGATGGTTAAGCCACCCAGAGCTGTCCGCATCATTTTGCTCTGACCCCACCTGCCTATCTCCTAAGCGCTGGATTTAAATGTGCCACATGCTCCCTTTCCACTAAGAAGCAAATGTAGCGATTTTGTTGAGACATATAATTTCTCACTGATAATCAACACAACACCACCTAAAGCCTTTTCTTATTTTCTGCACGTGGGACCAGGAACTAGCAGTAGGCACCTGCTGGTAAGGCAGGAAGATCACAGGTTGCAGGACAGTCTTAAAACAGGGAGCTGCTATTGAACAAAAGTTAAATGCTACACGCTTTTCTGATAATGAAAAAATTATACTTTCCATCCTCATGCTGTTTTATTGGTTTTTTATTCTAGAGAGAATTTATCCAGTTCTGTAAAACTTTGTACAGTATGTTCCATGAAGATCCCAAGGAGAACGAGCTGTACCAAGCCATCGCCACAGTAACCACTCTGCTACTACAGATAGGAGAAGTGGGCCAGCGAAGCAGCAGCTCAGGAAGCTGCTCCCAGGAATGTAGTGAGGAGCTGCAGGCTTCAGCTCCTTCTCCTGAACAGGACTCAGTTTTTGTTGAGACTGGGAAGCCTCCCCAAGACCCTCGGGCCCTTCCAGAGGCAGGGGAAGGGGACTGGACTGTCTCGCTGGAACATATCCTGGCCTCACTTCTCACTGAACAATCACTGGTAAACTTTTTTGAAAAGCCACTCAACATTAAATCCAAACTTGAAAATGCCAAGCTCAACCAGTACAGTCTCAAAGCTTTGGAAATGAGCCATCCACCACAGCCTGAACTGAAGCTGAATAACCTGTAGCCCACCACACCAAAGCATGGACTGGACTGTCGTCAGTCACTGTCCAGATTTCAGTCTAAAAACAGGGAACTCGACAAGCTGAGTATGTGGGTAACGAACCTCAGACCCACGGCCGGGGAACTGCTGCAACTCCCACAGTCTATTTATTCTTAAAGAGGACAGACAGGTGGAATGGAATGCCTTTTACACTGTGACTATCAACTTTGCTGAAACTAGTGTTTCTGCTGTGATCCTGGTTTTTGCGTTTACCCTTTGATGGACAAAAAGATGTCATGGTAACCAAGAGACATTAACTCCAGGCTCACTTTCCACTGGTTATGGGATTGGTCAAGAAATAAGCTCACCAAGATCCCAGAACCATCGTCTGCACAATTGTATTTGGCTTTTTTTGCACTAATTTTGTTTCAATGCTGGTAATTGAAACCATTTTAATATATTTCGTTGTATTCACTTTGTATGTCCTTCCAAAAACATGTGCAAAACCATGCTTTCAATGTTGGCCCCCAAGGTTTTTAATAAAAAAAATCTTTCTTTTTGTACTGACTCTTTAATAAAAATTAAAAACAATAAGGAAGCATGCAGATCTGAATTTGAGGCCACCCTGGTCACAAATTGGGTTACATGACAGCCAGGGCTGCTACAGAAAACCCTGTCTTTTGGGGGTGGGGGAGGAAAAAAAACCCAAGAGCTTATATTGTCTTAAGAGTATATAGCATATTCCAGGGAATGAACTGGACTGGTTGGCAAAGATGGCTAGAAGACTGACAACACAAAACTCCAGTATCATGTACGAGTTACAACCTCAATCCTTGATCTTAACACACACACCTGGGACTAATGTGAGACCTAATACTGTAGCTTCTTTGCTAAAACACAGACAAGCTAGGCATGGCAGGGGACGCCTTTAATTCCCGCCCTTGCGATGTTGAGGCCAGCCTGGTCTACAGATTAAGTTCCAGGACATCAAGGACTACAGAGAGAATGTGTCTTGAAAAAAAATCAAAACCACAATTGATTTTTATGAAAAGAACACATCACATAATCCCGATTTCCCAAGTACCCAAAGCAGCAATTAAATAACTCCCAACAATACTCCTTAGACCCTATTCTAAACACTACCAAAACTTCCCCCAGTGGGGCAAAAAAAAAAAAAAAGAAAAACCAAAACCTGAAGGCTGTTCTCCAACTTTATTTGAGATTCAGTAGGTTAGTTCTCATCCACATTGACTGTCTGTAGATCTGAAATGCAGAAGAGACAGCCAATCAGCACCCATACTCCTCCCGTCTTTTAGACCTGCACAACACTACAGTTGTATGAACTCCCATTATTTCCCCCATGTTAAGACAGTCTTAAAGGTCTGATAATTTTGCCCACCACTCATCTCACTGAAAATAGGCACCAACATTTGATGAACAAATTTAGGGTTGAAAGGTGCTAATAATTTCCTCCTATAATTTCAACAGCTTTGAGAACAGCATGAAACTTACTTTTGAATGTGGTAACAGGCACGTAAGTTACCAATGTGTAGAGTTTGTTTGGTGAGTCCTCATCCTCATTACGTTTTCTGGACAAACGTACCCGGATACGATATGGAACATTCCTAATAAAACATAAATGTGCTGCTAAGGTCAATGCTTCCTTTCAGAAAGACATATATACACAGTCCAGTCCCAGGAGATCTGGCCTCTAGGCAGCAGGCAAAAATGCCTATACATTTTTTAAGGTTAAACCCAGAATTCCCACTTCTGTATAGTCTACTTGGGAGTATGGAAAATTTTTATGCAAAACTGATAGCAACACAACCACAGCAGCAGTGGTGGTCTCTTCCTGCTTTTTAATGCTCTGAAAAACTTATCTGACCATGCAGCCACCATGACAACCGATTGTTCTTAGGCTGTCATCAACAGAAATACTCATTAATACAAAACAAAAGGCACAATCCTCTCCCCTTTCAGAAGCAGAATAGCTGATTCATCTCCTTTCCTCATCATCTCAGGACATGCTAGGTTTTCTTGGGCCCCAGACTCCTACAAACAAGGCTTCTCCATGCCCATGTGACACCACCCCTTACCTCAAGGCAGACACTATAGTTTCTTTTTTTTAAAGGTTTATTTATTATGTGTGCAGCATTCCTTCCACGTGTGCCCGCAGGCCAGAAGGGGGCACCGGGTCTCATAGATGGCTGTGAGCCACCATGTGGTTGCTGGGAATTGAACTCAGGACCTCTGGAAGAGCAGTTAGTGCTCTTTAACCACTGAGCCATTTCTCCAGCCCGACACTATAGTTTCTTGTTGCACAATTTTCTATATAGAGGGTCCCAAGATTACTTTCTGCAGCAGTACCCCCTTCCATCTTTGTATGTACTCCCCTTTAAAGGGGACTTCCCAAACTTGGCATTCAGGTTGGGTAAAACTGAGAACCCTTTCATGTTATAGGACATGGTACAAATCAACCTTTCTGGGCAAGATTTCTTCCTCAAGCTTAGAAAACACTGCTTTTTCCGAGCCTCTCATGCTCCGGATGGAGCTCTTCAAAGTCCCAATCTCTCCCAGATCTCACCAAGCTCTAACACTGCTCTCTCCCTTACAGTAAAGGACACTAGCTTAGAGTCTCGGTCCCAGTATCTATATTCCACATCCGGTAACGGAACTACCAAATCTGTCACAAAAGACTATGCAGAAGGAATAGCTGGTGCATTGTTAACAAATAACTTTGGTACCTTATTCCTTTGGCCCAGACGGCTTTATTGAGCCTGGTATCAATCCGCACATCTGGAGTCCCCATCTCCTTCATGGCAAATTTCCGGATTTCTTTAAGTGCCCTAGGAGCACGCTTCTTAAAGCCCCTGAGGTTCAAAACACAAGAATATAAAATCAAATCACAAAGAATATATAAACGGCATGCTCTCATAAAACAATCAAAACTAGTCAGAAACATACTCTAAAAACCAGCATCAGTACTTTGAACAAGAGGATGAAATAAATACGAAGTATTCTACAATTCTGGCACAAGATGCCATGCTTTCCCAACTTAGCATCCAGAAACCACTCCTACAAACACACAGCAGTCCTGAAGTGCCAGGGACTGCAGAGATGGCCCAGGGCTTGAGAACACTTGCTCTTTCAGAGGACTCAGGTTTGCTTCCCAGCATCCATGCGATGCACATACAAATATGCAGGCAAACCATGTACAGAGGACAAGAACACTCTGAAACCAAGGCAGCCATTTACCTATATTTTAGGCTTTCAGCCAAATGAGCACAAAACCCTAAAACTAGTTGGATGTGGTGTTGTGTTCCTTTAATCCTAGCATCTGGGAGGCAAAGGCAGGTGGATCTTTTTGTGTTCAGGGCCAGCCTGGTGACATAGCTAGTTTCAGGACAACCAGAGCTACACAATACAGATTAAGACCCAACGAAACAACAAAACCTACAAACTTTTCTAGGGCATGGAGGTGGTGCTTCCATTAACCACAACACTGGAAGCTGGGCAGGAAGACCTCAACTCCAAAATTCACAACCAACCTTTTACAAAAGCCCAGTTGTGCTCAGCATCTGTCTGTCTAGGTCACTCCAAGACAGACAACGTGGAACCACCTTCTCCACTCAGTATCAGCCCACGTGCAGTGTCCAAACAAACCCACTTTACTAATCTGGAAAAAACGTGGTTAGGAATAACAAGGGCTGGTCTATTGGACCCACTTCGCGCAAGCGACCCATCAGGTGGTATCAATAAGTACCAAACAGGACACACCAGGAAAGAGATGGAGCAGTGAGCGATTCCAGTATTGTGGTCAGGGAATGTAAACAAGATGCCGCTGTCACTACTTAATGGCAGTCAGCTGAATTACCAATGAACTAGACAAAGTAAAAGACAGCTGGGAGCAAGTTTGGTTTGGAAAACAGGGACCAAGATATGACCCAAGGATGAAGGAGATCCTTGCACAGGCCTTTCCAACAGCACAAATCCCCGAAAATCATGCCCGCCCACACCCTATACCTCTTTTAGGACTTCTAAAGAGCACCTCTTTCTCCGAGAATCACCCAACACATGGGGCAATTAAAAGCAAACAATCTTCAACTCAAACTACTTTTCACCTACTCCCCCCCCCCCCCCCCCCGTTGGTGACTCTGGGAGGGCAGGGTCTTTATCTGCAATGTCTGACAGTGCTCAATGTGCACCAACCAGAGGCTGGAATGTGGCTGGTCGCAAGTGGCACTTACACGCAGCAGAGACCTCACATGGGACAACACAGAAACGCCGACACAATTTCGACACGGCAGAACCTGTCACTAGAGACTGAACAGCCAAGTCCAAGAAATCCTGCTCTACACGCTGGCCTCGGAATGTATGTAAATATAACTGACGATAAATTCACAAGCGCTTCTCCTCAGCATTTCCAGTACTACAACTGGACCCGCATTAGTACGAATTTCCATCAGTCAGAGGACGAAGAAAATCTATTGGGGCTCAGCAATTCACAACTGCCTAGTTCCTGCAGCACAGAAGTTAGCCAAGGTTCCCCTTCACGAGCTTCTCTGAGCCGTCCAGATGACCAAAACTCTGGGTTTCGCACCACCAAGCGTTCCAAGTTCCACTGTTCTGAAAGTCCCAACATGACCTCCCGTTCCCAGTTCCTAACCGGAACCGTACACTCCAGAACCTGCACACCTTTAAAGGACACGCGATAGGATCGAAAAAAACAAAACAAACCCCGCGTGCTCTCTAGGGCAAGGATCGAGTGACGGCCAGAAGCCGGAAGGGGCTCGCGGGCCACGCCGGCCGCAGGTACTCACACGCCATGGATGCGCTTGTGAATGTTGATGGTGTATTCTCGGGTCACCACCTCGTTGATGGCAGAACGGCCCTTCTTCTTCTCGCCACCCTTCTTTGCGGGAGCCATCTAAAAAATGCAGGCGACAGGGGGGCTCTAAGCAGAGAGCGGGAAAAGGCCGGGCTGATTCCCCCGCTCAGAGTCCGGCCGACCCCGGAACCCCTGCTCCTCGGAGCCCCGCCGCTGTCCCCCCAGCGACCCCATTGCCTTGCGTCCGCGCGCGCCCTACCGCCCCGGATCGCCGAGCCTCCGGTCAGCGCGGAACAAATCCCCCAAGCCGGCCCGCCCCGCGCCCGGAGAGGATGGCGCTGGATTTCAGAGCCAGGACCCCGCCGCCATACTCACTCTGCCGGGCCCAAGCTGGAAAGGACGGGCGCGAGGGATTGTGGGAAGGAAAGCCGCTTCGCGAGTATAACTTCCGGGTCGGGAGGCGGTGGGTGGGGTGGGGAGAGGAAGTGTGGCGAGGGAAGGTCGAAGGCTGGGACGCGACGTATAGGTAGCGCGTCGGAGGCGGAGCGAGCGGCATGGGGCGGGCCCCGGGGCCGGGCTCCGGGGGCGGGGCCGGGGCGGGGTCGAGGCTCCAGTCTTCTGACGGCTGTGAGCAGGGTCCGTGTCTGCTGTTTGAAGGTGGTGGTTGGGAATTAAATCCGCACCCTCAGACTGCAGGGCCAGGAAAGAAGACGCTCTTCCGTTTTTCGGATTCAGTCATTCATTCGATCCTACACGTATTGAATCTATAATGTGATGTGCTTGGTAGACGGTCCCAGGTCCCTGAGACCATAACCAAAGCACTCATTTCTCCAAGTCGAAAAGGTCCACGTGAATGTTAGCCTTTTTGGTGGGAAAATCCCGAATCCAAACAAGTCCGAACAGCCTATTCATTGGGGGATTTCAGCAACGGCAAGTTTCAGGATCTCACAGATAAAAGACAGGCAGGCAGAGACTCCACGGTCTTACCGGAATTTGGCTAAGGGATGCTGTATATATGAATTCCCCAAGGGCAGGACTTGGTATAGACAGGCACACTCTCTCTCTCGGACCTCAGAAGAAAACAAGTCCTCAGTGTGGAGGTGCAAAACTTTGTAGGTAGCCTCGGGAGGTCACGAGTTCAAGGTCATCCTTGACTACTGGGTGAGTTTGAGGCCTGCCTGAGGGGTTGGGTGTGGAAGAGTGTTGACTGGGGGCTAAACACACCTCACAGTTCTGAAGACTTCTTCATGGGGCTAGGAGGAAAGACCAGGACAGGCTCTGTTCCAGTTCTTCCTGGGGTGCAAACCACTAACGGGCTCGATGGGAATGCGGGTTGGCACAGTAATTCTGGGGTGAGCTCCAGGGAATTCCAAAGCAATCTCCTAAACAGAACCACTCAAAACATTTTAAAGAGGAAATCAGGAGTGATGCACTCAGGAGGCAAAGCAGAAGGATTGCAGATTAAGCCTGAGGCTACTCTAGGCTACTAGAGGCCAACCTTGGCTATCCAACAAGATTTGACCAAAAGTTAGGGGGAGAAGGAGGAAGGGAGGAAGAGGGAGAAAGAGGAGGGAAGAGTAGACAGAGGGAAAGAGAAGGGGAAAAAGGGGTGTGTGTGTGAAGCAAATATGAAAATATGTATCTGGGGATGTAGCTCAGTGATAGAACATTCACTGACATTCGCAAGCTCTGGATTTGATAGGCACTCACCCTCCTCCATTACAAAAAAGGAAAGCAGCCTGGTGATGAAAACAGTTCCAAAAGGAAGGAGCCTGGTGAGGAGGATGTTGCTATGATACAGCAGAGATGGAGCCTTGAGCATGTCAGCAGATAGTGGACCAGAAAGGAAAGTCACAGACAGCATTCAAAATGAAAATCAGTAGTTCAAGAGTAACTTTATGTGAGATGCCAGGTTAGGAGAAAGACAATATCAGGTAAGAATCGCATCAGAAAGGTAAAATATCACACAATGTATGATCTATTAGCTAGGCAAAACTGATGTGATTCTGTGACTTTTGTGAGTCTCTTATAAGCAGAGACGTGCCATTCACTGTCTTCATTGTTGTGCAAACTTTGCAGTGTGTACACAGTTCTGTGCTTTAGCCTATCACAAACCTAAGCCATACGGTAAGTCTCTTCAGCCAGGCTGTCCTTCAGTAACGCTGTCCTTGAGCATTGCATGACCCTGTATACTTTCAGCTCTCTCGCCACAGAATGAGCCAATGGCGGGAACTGAAGCAGCGCTATTGCCCAACATCACTTTCCAGTTTCACTTTAAGCACCAGATTTTAATATTGGACTTTTTTTTTTTTAAAGTAAAAGAAAATCAGGAAGGAAGTTGATCCCATACTTTGGGGCAGAGGGAAAAATAGGTAAATAGATCATGCCTCTGATGTTCAAGAGAGAACTCTGGAGGCTGGTTTTGGATGGACTTTACTAATGAGACGAAAGAGGAGCTAGCTCTCTCTTGTTAGGGTGATGATCTGAGCATTGAAATAATAATAGTCAACTAGAAACTGAGTTTATAAAAGGCTGTAAGTTCATGACTTTGTACTAAAAAATATGAGTAATTTATGGAGTCAATAAACCAGACATGCCCATCCCGGATTAAGCTAAAATTCAAAAAGAAAATTTCCCCTCCTACCCTATTTCTAATGAGTATTTCTACAGGAAAAACAAAGCTTTTTATCTTCATAATATGAATTTCATCTGACAACTAACAAAATTTCTCTAGATGACTCATATTAGATATTTTTTTCAGGATACTAAAGACTGACTTTGAGATCTTCAGGATACAACATGAACAGAAATTAAAGTAATTTTGTGCCACTAAATTTTTACCAGGACATTTTGGCAAGTGTGCAAAAGTCTTGGCTAACAACTGCTTAATAAGCAGGGCCATAGTGGCACATGACTTTAATCTCAGCACTCAGGAGGCAGAGGCAGGCATAGATCTCTGAGTTCGAGGCCAGTCTGGTCTATAGAGTAACTTCCAGGCCAGCCAGGATTACACAGAGAAACTCTGTCTTGAAAACACCAACAAGAAAAAGAAAAAAAAAGCTACTTAATGGTTAGTTGACATAGCTGGGTATGGTTGTATACACATTTAATCACAGAGGCAGAGGCCAGTGGCTAGAGTTCAATGCTAGCCTGATCTATATAGGGAGTTCCAGGCCAGCCAGAGCTACAAAGTGAGACCTCATCTAAAAACAACAATAGCAACTTACCGTGTTGTTTGGACAAAGCAATATTTAGACAGAATATGCTACAATTTTAGTTAGTTTGTAAAATCTTAAACCAAGTGTTTCAAGTTCACACTCAATCTTGACTCTTGAACCAAGAGACTTTGATACTGTTCCAGACAGTTCAGGTCATGTTTTTTTCTGGAACAAAGATGTGGTTGCAAAATAGCCATTTAATGAGCAAAGTAATGAATGAAGAGCTCAGTGATTACAATTCCCAGGATGCCTGCATTTGATGGAAAATTACACAATAAGAGTTTTTTGAGTTTATCCAAATTCTTAACATGTGTAAAATTCAGGCATAGCTAAATTAAATTAGGAGCGTAACACACTCCACCCTCTTTAATGGCTTCCAGCTAGACAATCCTAGGATAATGAATACACTGTGCCCATTAACAATCTTGTTCCACTTAGGGGTCTAACCACCAATTAAAGTATGGCTACAATTGAACTATAATTTTTTTCTAGAAAAACCAGATCTCTAAACCTTAGACAATGTTAAGTTTTGTTTTTTAAAAAAATAGGTCATTGAATTTCATTCAGATTTCATGTTTTAAAAACAAGGTTCACTTCAAGTTCTTTGAAAAAGTAAATGTTCCTCTTCATATATGCAAAATATTTTTTTTGTTGTTGTTTTTTACTACCTACCCAATCTCTGCCCTCAGGCATAGAGCAATCATGGACACACGTATGTAGCAACTTCATGGTATCCAAAACTTGATCCTAGCTAGAGAATCAAAAAGGAGTCGTCATCATTTTACAGAAGAGGGTGAAAGTGCAGACCTATCTTGATAGAGCATTGGAAGGAACATAGATAGCTCCTTGCAGTCAGGATGTTTGGAAAGGGAGTGGCCATCTTGGTGATTCCCAAATACTGAGTGTTCCTAAGGCCCTTGGAGTTTTCAAAGGCAGCTTAGCAACCTGGGACTCCTATCTGCATGGAGCTGCGTGTACATCCTTCTCCAGATGAAGTGGCCAGTCAATCCTAGCAACCCCTGGGGACTCCACCTTTGTGGTCACACATTTTGGAACATGTCCTAGAAGTGCAGGCAGTAAGCCAACTCCGCCTGGGCTGAACTTCAGTGCTCAGGCAGTCAGGCAACCACTGAGTGAGCTCTCAGGGGAAATCATTTACCATTCTATGCCTATGCATGATTGGGCACGCGTATGATTAAAAAATTCAATGCATCATGAGAAAGAACATGTTGGGTGAACAAGGGTTACATAACCCAAACCATCAACGGAAACACAGAATCACCTACTTCTCATCCCTGCGAGCTAACTCCTCCCTCCCATCCTCCTGAGCCTACAAAAAGAAGCCTCACAAAGTAACCCCTAGCAATCTTGCTTGGCCCCCACTGCTCTGTCTATGCAGTGTATCTAGTCTGTGTATTTCTTCTGCTCCCGAATAAGACCCTGGCTAATTCGCTATTTGTGTGTGCTTCATTTTTTTTTATTTTATTTTTTTATTTTTGAACAAGACAAGACCCTGGAACCACTCAGTGGAGACCACCAGTACCACCAGTGTATCCTCATGTTAGTATGCTGGACCTCATGAATGAGGTGGCTGTAACTGAGCAAGACCTCAGCCATGCTGTTTGCCTTCTCAATGTGTGTCTGTGTACACATCTCACACATACCAGGGCACACCTTCCTTGCTGACATCACTGGGCTAAATGTTGGCAGTGAGAGTCCATCAGATCCAGCCTGATTGTGTAGAATCGCGAGCAATGAATGAGTGCTTTGGTGGGGAACGTCGCCATCATTTCCACAGGTTTCCAGTGTTCACAAGACTGAGGTGCTCCCAGGAGAAATTGTTACCATTTCTACAGTGAAACATTGCTTTCCCTGTCACAGCTTTGAACCTTAGGATACTGGAAGACGGATGCAGCCCAAGAAGCTCCATCCCCGTACCACTTATTGTATTGTGTGTTCCATCATACTGGGGGTTGGGTCTTGAATGGCCCCCCAAAGACCCATGTATTGAAACCCTGGACCTCAGCTACTGGGTGTGGCACAACCTTTAGCAGGTGGGGCCTAGTGGAATAAAGTTTGCTCATTAGGGTTATGGGGGTATATCTTTTAGTGGGACCCTGACTCCTTTCTCTTTCTTTGCTTCCTTGAGATGAG